CGCACTAGGCCACGGAGATCTTTTATAGAAAACATATTCAAATACAAATATAAATAGGATGGCACCCACACACAGATATTACAACAGCAGGCACTTTGACTGCTTTCTTTCTGCTCCAGAGAAGCCTTTCACACAGCCAGCGTCAGATCCAGAAAGCAGGTGGTCTGTGGCAGCCAGGAGAATCTGACTGAGAGGCCCTGGACCCCTCCTTCCAGGGTGCTGTCCTGAGACGCCCGTACACCGTGTCCCCCATCCTTCCTGGGGACAGCCAGGAGCAGAGGGGAGGGCAGGAGAAACAGGGGGATTGAGCAGAGGGGCAGGGCACACAGGAGGGACGTCCAGGTGTCCCCGAGGTTGACGGTGTGACTGTCATGACTCAATGGAAAATGTGAGCTGTGGCTCGTGTCACCCGCTGCTGCAGCAGGCATTTACTTGGGGTGTCGGAAGCAAGACCCCACTGTGCCAATGTCAGAACACGCCTCCACATTCTTACACTCTGTATGGGAACCTGGCCCCCCCACCTGGGACAAAATGCCTCTACACATGGCCCCCGGTTGTCCCTCCCCGCACTGTTCCTTCCCAGCCTAAATGCTGGCATCTCTCAAGTCCACTGGGTCCCCTGGCTCGGGCAGCAAAGGAGGGGCAGGTGTGACACCCCACCCCCCCCCGCCGCGATGGCCCATGTCTGGGAAGCTGGTGACTCCAGGGTCAGAAATAACCCCACAGTCAGCCTCCCTCGTGCCTCCTTTCCTTTTTCTCTCCCCTCCATTCCCAGCAAGTCCGGGCCCTGAGTCAGAAGAGAAGCATCTAAGACCATAAACAAGGACTGGACCATCTATTGAGAAAACACAACGCCCGTTCTGGGGGAGTTTTTGCTAAGTCAGGGGCGACAGGAAGGCCTGGGGGACCTGGTAGTTCAACGTCTCTCCCCAGCTCTCATCTTCATTTGGGGCCTGCGTTACAAGCAGACTCTGACACATGATGACTCGTGTGTAAGTATAGAACTGTGTGTGCACCGCAATAGCCAGGCCTTTCTTCCTACGTGCCCCTGAGTGAACACACCTTTCCAGCTAGCAGCCACATGAGCCGTTTACCACTCAGGGGTTCCGCGGGGCTGGAGAGGGAGAAAGCCTTTAGCGCAGAGAGAACTCAGGGAGGAAATCTGGGTTTCAGTCTTTTCAGCCCCTAAGACCTAAAAGTGGAGGCTGAAGTTGGCCCTGCACTCGGGAAACCTCCTGGCAACACAAGTCAGGAACAGTTGGAGGCCACCCAGGAGTGAGATGCCCCCTTCCTATCCACCCCTCAGAATAGTCCTGGGCACCCCCATCCCGCTCACGGCTGACTCACCAGCCCCAATCCTTAGATCAACCAACAGGGATGAATGAAGGATTTCTCATCCCTCTCCCTCCCCCATCAAAAGGACGTGTAACTGATTCCCCTGATGGAAGACTGATTTCCACAAGCCCTAAAAATAACTGAGCCACTTCATACCCTGAACTTAGCCTCTCCTGCCCGCCCCCACCCGGCCCAACCCCTCCAACCAGCAAGATAAAGGCAGCTGCCCTGGCCAGCAAGGGACAGAGAGAGCCCTGAGACACCAGGGCAGCGAAGAGAAGGCATCGGACAGTCAGCAGAGCAGGAACCCCCAGAGGGACGACAGACCCCTACAGACCACTAGCGCCACAGTCCACAGAGGGTGAGTGTCCGTCCCTTATCCACAGCTGTAGGAGGTCCGCAAGGCTGGCACCTGTTCTGGGCCCTGGGGGTGGCGTGTGCAGGGGTCGCCTGGGTGGGAGAAGGAGTCAAGGGGGTTTGAGTCTGGATGTTTGAGTCTCTGATCTAAAGAAGCAGTTAAGGGGGAGTTAGTGTGTGGCCGTGGGAGTTCTCAGAGCAGCTACCACAGGCCAGAGGCCAGACCAGGACAGGCTATTTATTGCCCATCTGCCTGGGCCTCAGGACAAAGGCCTCCAGGAGAGATGGCCTGGACTGCAGTTCGTCCAGTCCAGGTAGTGACCTCTTCAGGCTCCCAGGCCTCCTGCAGACAAGAGGCAGGAGGGAAGACTTCCCTGGCTTCTTCTTTCTTGAGGGAAGAGGAGGACAGAGGCAGCTGGAGGGGTGCACAGGCCTGAGCCGGCTCTGCCAACACCAGCACCGTGCCCAGCTGTTGTGGGCGAAAGCTGTGACACACTTGGGCCTGGAGCGTCTGCCCAAACCTGGCCTGAGCCTGGGGCCCCTCACCTCTTGGCCAAGCACCTGGGTGGGGTGAGATGGGTGCACACCTGTCCAGGGTCATCACTTGAGGTCAGACACAGAGCTCACTTTGGGGAGTCCAGATTTAAGTACGTAAGGATCAGGCTGGTCCACAGAGGAAGGTCTGGGACAGAGAGGAGGTGACTCCAAAAGTCCAGACACCGTGACATTTCAGTTCTGAAGCATGTCTTCACGGTCTACCTCCTCTGACCAGTCAGGGATAAGGTGGGGGTACAGTATTTAGGGGAGCTGCTCCAGGCCTTTCTACTGCCTCACTGGCTCTTTGGAAAACTCCTTTCTTCTGTCTGGGCCTCAGTTTCCCCCTCTGAACAATACAGGGTCAGTTTGACTGACCTCTAACGCCCCTTAAGTCAGACATCCTGGAATCTGTGATGGAAGTGGGCAGCGGCCACAGAGGGGATTCTGGGCATTCCTGGGGACAGAGGAGTGCTGTGACCACACATGCCATCTGTCAAGGCCACCACAGTGGTGACAGGATGGAGCGGCGGTCAGACAGGCTCGGCTTTGGCAAGGGGTCCTCACATGAGCTGAGTGACTAACAGAAAATGCCCCAAGGGTTTGCTGCGTGTTTATTATTAAACTCTTATGAGTCCCCACTACCAGGGGCTCTGACATCTAAGCGAGACCTGCTTCAGTGGGGAGGGGGTCTCCTAGGGTTGCCACGAGAAAGATGTCCTGTTCCCAGTGGCCCAGTGGCCCTTGCCCATTTGGCCGCGGGAGGGTTACAGTATCCACCACCCAGTCTCGCTGCAGGCAGGGCTTGACAACAGCCAAGGAGGAAGGATTGGGGTGGGCAAGGGCATTTAGGGAGTCAATAAAGATGAAGGGGGCCAAGGTTCTTGGGTCCCCACGGCTGAGCCCAGGGCTGCTGTGCCGAGGCCAGGGCCCTGGCTATATTTAGTTCCAGCGCAGAGAGGGAGTGGGTCAGGAGCCCCGGGAGGGAGTGCATGCCTCTCATTCCTTCCCCACTGGCCTCTGGTGGATGTTAGTACACCTGTCACCGGACAGATAAGATACACACAGGACAGAGACCAGAGAAGGGCTTGAGGGTAGGAGGCCATTGAAGGGTCATTGAAGCTTTGGTGGACATTGGCTGATGAGAAGAGGGAGGAAAAGGGGTGGGGGGGGGGGGGCAAGGAGCTGACTGGGCCTGGGGTTGGGGGTGAGGGAGAGGTTGCAGGTCTAAGTCTGAGACCCTGAAGATGGGTTTGTTCAAGCATAAGTGGGTTGTCTCCAGGACCCAGGGGCAGGCTGTCTCCTCTGCCTTGAGGGCCTGTCTCTGGATGGCTGTCACCCTCACTTTCTTCTGGGAAGTACCTGCCTGGGAATTGAAGAGCAGCACAAGGGCTACAAAAAGGCGCTTGTGCCCAGGAGAGACTGTGGGCTGAGGGTGGTGCTTTGTTCAGTTCCGTACAGAGGTGTTGAGCACAGAGCAGACTTGGCACCTACCAATAACAAGGAAGAAAATGTTACTCCCTAGATTCTTATTTCTTGAGGCCAGGCCTCAGAGAACATCTGGGAACCCCAAGCCAGCACCACCATCTTTGCTTTCCCCAAGATCTGATTCTTTCTGAGCTGGGGCCCCGCTCTCTCCACCTTTAATCATGAGAGAACAAGCTAGACTTTCCTTGTGACTCCCCTCCCTGCATAAGGAACTGGTATCTAGAATTTAGAATCGGGCTGTAAGTAACCATGAGGTGTCAGGTGAACAGATACCCCTCCCTGATCCCTTCATTGCAGGGGCCGCCCACTGACCTGGCCATGCTTGTAGGGCCTGGGAAAGGCCAGCGAGCTGATTGACAGCTGGGAGCCTTAACTGCGGCCAAGCTCTCACAGTACCCAAGCGCGCCCTCTGGTGTTCCAAAAAGGCATTTTGTCCCCTTTAGAAACCAGTCACAGTTTGGGCAAAGAATTGTGCAGTGCAAAGGTGTGGAGTTCAAATCCACAAGTTGCCCCCATCAGGAGACGGATAGGCAATATCCTCTCGTGCGATTTACTGACTTAGAAAAGCAGCTGGAGGGCCAGCTGTGGCCCGGTTCCGATTCAACAGTATACAACAATATCTCCCTGTTTGATGCCCCAGCCTGCTAGGTGAAAGGTGGACTCTGGTCCACTCGGAGGAACCTGGGGAGGCTGTCTACTCTGCAGCTCAGTTCCAGGGCAGTTATCTCAGTTCCAGGGCAGCTAGCTTCCGCTTTCACTGCCTCCCCTGCCACTTTCCTGGGAGTTTACCAAAGGAGGTAGGATGGAGCATGTGGAGTTGCTGACAACTTTTGTAACATGAAAGGGAGGGTCTCATGGCCAGCAGTACCATGCCTGTTGTCCCGTCACACAGGTGACACTGGGATGCACCTTGCTAGTTGGTACTATGGAGTTAAAGTGACCTATAGCTGACCCTCCAGCAGGTTTTCAGAGGCAGTTAAGTGCACAGGAGAACACTGTCTGTCCTTCTCCTGTGGATTTGAACCATGTGCCTTTGGGATTGCAGCGCAGCTTCTTACCACTAGGCCACCAGAGCTCTGTAGGCCACCATATTTCCTGTCCAAGGCTCATCGTGAAATGAAGCAGGGAGAGATGGCAGTGTCAGCAAGCTGGCACGTTCTGGTCTGCCCTGGAGAGAGGAACTCTCTAAGTGGGTGTCCATGAGAGGCTGTTGGCCCCTGCCCCCTGCTATCTCTCCCACCTGAGACCCCACCCCATCCTCACCTCCACCCCTTCTCCTCAGAAGGATGGCCAGTGTCCAGACACAGGTGGCCCCTACCCCGACCATCCGGATGGCGACCACAGAGGACCTGCCCCTGCCGCCACCCCCAGCGCTGGAGGACCTGCCCCCGCCGCCGCCCAAGGAGTCCTTCTCCAAGTTCCACCAGCAGCGCCAGGCCAGCGAGCTGCGACGCCTGTACAGACACATCCACCCAGAGCTGCGCAGGAACCTGGCCGAGGCCGTGGAGGAGGACCTGGCCGAGGTCCTGGGCTCGGAGGAGCCCACGGAGGGCGACGTTCAGTGCATGCGCTGGATCTTCGAGAACTGGCGGCTGGACGCCATCGGGGACCACGACAAGCAGGCCGCCCGGGAGCCCGTGGCGGGCGGCGACGTCCAGGCCACCTCGCGCAAGTTCCAGGAGGGGTCCCTGGCCAACAGCGTGGGCCAGGAGCCTGCGGGTCCCCGGGCCACCGGGGGCGACGTGCGTGCGGCCCGCAGGCTGTTCGAGACCAAGCCTCTGGACCAGCTGAGCGGCCAGGACGCACCCGAGGCCCCAGGCCGGGAGCCCGCGGCCAGCGGGGACGTCCAGGGCACCAGGCTGCTCTTCGAGACGCGGCCGCTGGACCGCCTGGGCTCCCGGCCCTCGCTCCAGGCCCAGAGCCCGCTGGAGCTGCGCTCCGAGATCCAGGAACTGAAGGGCGACGTGAAGAAGACGGTGAAGCTGTTCCAGACGCAGCCGCTGTGCGCCATCCAGGACGCGGATGGCGCCATCCACGAGGTCAAGGCCGCCTGCCGCGAGGAGATCCACAGCCACGCGGTGCGCTGCGCACGCTGGCTCTTCGAGACGCAGCCCCTGGACGCCATCAACCGCGACCCCAGCCAGGTGCGCGTTATCCGGGGCATCTCCCTGGAGGAGGAGGCCCGGCCTGACGTCAGCGCCACGCGCTGGATCTTCGAGACGCAGCCCCTGGACGCCATCCGCGAGATCATCGTGGACGAGAAGGACTTCCAGCCGTCGCCAGACCTCATCCCGCCCGGCCCGGATGTCCAGCAGCAGCGGCATCTGTTTGAAACCCGCGCTTTGGACACCCTGAGAGGGGAGGAGGAGGAAGGGGCTGGCGTGCAGGCGCCACCCAAGGAGGAAGTGGTCCCTGGGGACGTCCGCTCCACCCTGTGGCTCTTTGAGACTCAGCCCCTGGACGCTCTGAAGGACAGCGTGCAAGTGGGTCACCTGCAGCGAGTGGGCTCCCGAGAGGGTGAGGCGCTGACGTGTGAGACGGGGTCCAGTGGTGGCCCCTCCGCACTGCCCCTCTCTCCGAGTGCCCCGGAGAGGGACAGCGTCAAAGGGGATGTGAAGACCTTCAAGAATCTTTTTGAGACCCTCCCCTTGGACAGCATCCGGCAGGATGAGCCTCTGACCCCTGGGAGCGCAAGCACAGCAGAAGGGACAGTGGCTTCCGGGCAGCCCCAGGGCCCAGGGTGCCCAGTATATGCCATGCAAGACAGCAAGGGCCAGCTCCACGCCCTGACCTCTGTCAGCAGAGAGCAGGTGGTGGGGGGCGACGTGAAGGGCTATCGGTGGATGTTTGAGACGCAGCCCCTAGACCAGCTGGGCCGACACCCCGATACTGTGGACGTGGTACGGGGCATCACCCGCCAGGAAGTGATGGCCGGGGACGTGGGCACCACCCGCTGGCTCTTTGAGACGCAGCCCCTGGAGGTGATCCACCAACGAGAGAAGGAAGAAGACAGCCAAGGTCAGAAAGGAGCCCAGCCCGAGGCCTTCCCAAAGGGTGATGTGCAGACCATCCGCTGGCTGTTCGAGACATGCCCCATGAGCGAGCTGGCAGACAGGCAGAATTCAGAGGACACGGGTCCCACAGACGAGCCTGGGGTCCGGTCCTGCACCTGGATGTTCGAGGCCCAGCCCCTGGAGAGGCCACACGGCTCCCAGGAACAGCACCTGCGGGCCGGCCAGGTCCCGACAGGGCAACGACAGACCGATGGACACGTCTTCGAGACTGAGCCTCTGCAGGCCACCGGCCGTCCCTGGAAGCGACGTGCCATGAGGTATCTCAGCCGAGTGGATATCCCCTCAGGACAGGTGTCTCGTCAAAAGGAGGTTTTCCAGGCGCTGGAGGCCGGCAAGAAGGAAGACCAAGTGTCCAGGGTCACCCCTGAGTCCATCCCGGAGGGTGCTGTACACAAATTCACATGGCTCTTTGAGAACTGCCCCATGGGCTCCCTGGCGGCGGAGAGCGTCCGAGGGGACAACCTTGAGGAAGAGGAGTCTGTGGACACCTCAGACAACGGGCACCTAGAGAAGCAGGAGACTGAGGCCGAGGGGACCCTGCGGACGCTGCATGCCACCCAGGGCATCCTGCACCACGGGGGTGTCCTCATGGAGGCCCGCGGGCCCGGGGAGCTCTGTCTGGCCAAGTATGTGCTTCGGGGGCCTGGGCGTCCCCAAGTGCGCAAGGAGGAGCTGGTGTCCGGCGAGCTGCCCCGGATCGTGCGCCAAGTGCTGCGCCGGCCGGACGTGGACCCACAGGCGCTGCTGGTGCATGAGGACCCGGCCGGCCAGCTCCAGCTCACCCCGCTGCAGCTGCCTGCTCCGGGCAGTGGTACCATCGATGACCTGGATCCAGCCCTCCGCCAGGTGCTGGCGTGCGCGCTGGGGACCTCGGTGATGCGGACCGGGCTAGTGATGCAGGAGACCGAGCAGGGCCTGGTAGCACTGACCGCCTACTCCCTGCAGCCCCGGCCAGCGGGCAGGGGCCCAGAGAGGAGCAGCGTGCACCAGCTGGCCAGCTGCATAGACAAAGGGGACCTGAGCGGCCTGCACAGCCTTCGGTGGGAGCCACCGGCCGAGCCCAGCCCGGTGCCGAGCAGCGAGGGGACTCAACAGCTGCCCCTGACGGAGAGCGTCATCCACGTGACCCCCCTGGAGCCAAGCCTGGGGATGGGGCATCTGCATTGCCCCCCACGATCTGCAGGAAAGGCAGCCCCAGCCGGCTCACAGGGAACCTTAAAGCAGGAAGACAATCACACTGAGCAGAAAGGGGGGGCAACCTTGGGAAAGTCTCGAGGGGTGGGGGTGACACCGCAGAGCCCCGGAGCCCCAGACCTCCAGGCTGCGATGCAGGACCTGCGGAAGGCCACCGCCGAGGCCCAGAGCCTACAGCAGCAAGTCCAGAACAAATACAAGTACAGCCCAGGCCCTGTGGTCACCTGCACCTCCACCCAGAACGGCCTCCTGCCAGCACCAGCCGTGACCCCTGGGGCTGCCCACAGCAACGCTAGGCATGTGGCCAGAGCTGACCTCAGGATGCCAGCCACCCCTGGAAAGGTCAGTGGAGAACTGAACACAATTCCCAGGGGACCGCCCGGGGGGCGGGCGACCGTGCAGGACGGAGTCTACACTGCTCACCCAGTGAGGACCTTTGACTCAGCCAAGGGTGCCCATCCTTTTGAGAGGGAACCCCAGCCAAGGGGCCAGGGGGCTTCCCTCACAGCTCAGGCCCCCAGCCCAGTCCTGGGAGGTCTGGGCCAGAGTCTCAGGCCAGATAAGGCAGAGCCTGGGGACCACTCCCAGGGCACCTGGGGACCTCTGAGGAAGCCACTGGCAGAGGTCGGCCAGGGAACCCTCCAAGCTGCAGAGACCACCCCGAAGGCGGCCCCCTTAGCCCACCACACTCCACCCTCTGGGCCTAGGGATGCAGGTGCCTGCCTGCACTCCCATAATGCCTCTGTTCCTCCTCCTCCTCCCCCAGCTGCTGTGACCAGACCAGACTTCCCAGCCCAAACCTGCCACCAAGAAGACGCCATCCCACAGGTTGCCCAATCCCTTCCGGAGACCCGTCTCCACCCCCACAGCAGTCCTGCTGGCCAGAGAGCCCCCGAGGGGACGCAGACCAAGGCGGTTAAATCGGAGCCCACCACACCCCCAAGGAAGAAACCCCAGCTGCCCCCTAAACCTGCCCACCTGTCTCTGATCCCTCCTCGCCGGAAGTTGCCCAAGTCCCCAGCTCAGGCTCCTGGATCCTCCTTGGAGGTGGGACCAGGTGCACATAACCAAGGTGAGAGAGAGACAGACATGCTCCAGACAGTGGTGGTCCCCACTGCTGCAGGCCAGCCTGGCCCCCAGGATGGCCTCAGGTCAATGGGCCCCAGGCCCACCCAGGGCAGCCATGACCAGCTGCCCAGATCTCCCAGTGATCACCCCACCTCACCACAGCAAGGCCCTAGCCTCCCAGGACAACAGCCCATGGTAGAGTCCCAACCAGTGGTATCTGACAGCTCCCAGGCTCTGCAGGGAAGCCGCCAGGAACTCCAGGGCCTCCTGAGTCAAGTGCAGGTCCTGGAGAAGGAGGCCGTGGGCAGCGTGGACGTGCGCGCACTGCAGACTCTCTTCGAGGCTGTGCCCCAGCTGGGAGAGGCCGCCCCTCCAGAGTCCGCGGCCGCCCACAAGCCTGAGGCTTCGGTGGAGCAGGCCTTTGGGGAGCTGACACGCGTCAGCACGGAGGTTGCCCGGCTGAAGGAGCAGACCCTGGCCAGGCTGCTGGACATCGAGGACGCTGTGCGCAAGGCCCTGAGCTCCATGTCAAACCTTCAGCCTGAGGCTAAGAATGCCACCAGCCATTCCCAGGGAGCCCCAGAGGATCCCAGTGCCCACAAGGTCAGCATTATGGCCAGCAGCAGAGCCACGCCCAACAGGCCAGTTCAGGAGGCCAGGGGTCAGAAGGCGGTGGAGAGCCAAACTGAGGTCCAGCATCAAGCCGAGGTCAGAAGCCACTCGGAGATCACAGGTCAAGCAGCCTCCACAGGCCCTGCCACCGGGCAGCTGGAGACACTGAGAGGAGAGGCAGGCCTCCCTCGGGTCGTACCTTCTCGCACAGAGTCCCCCTCCTCCCCAACCTTCATCTCCATTCAGTCAGCCACCAGGAAGTCCCCAGGAATGCCCAGCCCCAAGGACAGCCCTGGCGTCCCAGTGAAGAGCACACACCTGGCCCTGGACGCAGGCCAGGCCCTGCTCCGCCAGGAAGGTGCCCAAGACGAGGCCGGCAGGAAGGAGGCCAGCAGGAAGGAGGCTGGCAGGAGCTCTGGACAGCAGGAGCCTGTCCCCGCCGCCGCCAGCCCTTCGCCCACTGGGCGGCAGAAGAGTGTCCTGGAGCTGCAGACGGGGCCAGCAGGCGCCCAGCCCTACGAAGCCACCAGCACGGTGACCGAGCAGTTCGAGGAGGTGGACCAGTTTGGGAATACAATCCTAGCGTCCTCCACCACCACGGTCACCAGGCAGGCCGAGCCGCCCAGGGGTGCATGTCCCTGCCCGGGCCTCCACTCCTCCCCGCTGCTACGAAGGTTCCTGCACAGCTCTGCAGGGCTCAGCAGTGGCCTGACAGATCCCGGGACACTGTACATGCCAACCGCCCAGTGAGGGCCCCACACAGCCTCCCAGCACCCATTGCAGGAGTGTCTCCTCCCACGGCCCTGGACACCTACCCCCAGCACTCACCGGGCAAGGACCAAGAACAAGGAGAATCTTCTGAAACTTGATCTGAGCAGTGTCTCTTTCCTCAATTCCCTCAAGAGGGCGCAGACTTCGCCGGGAGGACAGTTCTGCAGGGGCCCCGAGCACAGGAGGAGGGTGGGGAAGCCCAGCTGGAGGGAGTAGTGTGTACAGGCACGTGCTCTGCAGGAAGGCCTGGCCCGTGCACTGACACACGCGTGAGCACACCATACTTGGCACCCCCGATTGCCCTCAAGCCCCAGCCTTCGTTTCTTCTACTTGGAGTCTGCGTGTTGTTCTCAGGCATCTGCTCTCAGGCATTTGTCAGTCCCCACTGACAGCCAGCCGAACCCAGGCCTGGGTTCTGCCTGTTGTCTCTCTCAGGGCGCAGAAGGGACCGATAACCAGCTCCATCAGCAACACTTCTGTCGTCCACTCACCCTGATGACTCTGAGGTCACAAAGAGTGGTCCAGTGATCAGCATTGTAGCTAGGGTCACCCCCCTCACCATCCCACACCCTGTACCCTGACTAGGAATGTATCGTCTGAATAAAGCCAGATTTTCTTCTCTATGCTGTACATGTCTCATTGTCTGTCTGTCCATCCCACAGTCCGTGTCCCCAGCTGCAGGAGGCAGGTGGTCCATGCTTTAATAACAGCAGTAGTGTTGGAGGCTTTGAAAATCCGCACTTCATCCGCTATCTTGCTGGGAATAGTCTCATCTGCAACCCATCTCATTTACCTAACACACACACACACACACACACCCTCCCTCTGGCCTCCTCACCTAGAGGGAAGTCAGCACTCATCCTGCACTGGAATCCAGCTGCAGCCCTGCCCCAGTCAGGTGTAGGAGGAGGGAAGGCCTCACACTAGGAAAATCTTGAAGGCCAGCCTGGCTCCAGGCTCAGGCCAGGTGCTGTATGCAGAGCAGAGGCTCCTGGGAGGGGGCAGTAGGTCGCTTCAGCCTAGAAAGCCAGAGTGATGTGGCGAAGGACCCTTTTCACTTTCTCCACACATGTTTAGCGCCTGCTGCCTGCCAAGCTTGTTTCAGGCAACAGCCACACAGAAGTGAAGTCCAATACATTCCAGCTCTTTAACTTTGTAAAATGAAGAGACAGCCAGGAAATCAATGATGTTCCTGATGTGAGCAAGAAGCGAAAATTGGGAGGGGAAACTGGGTAGGCAAAGGGAACAGCACATACAAAGCCCAGAAGAGGAAATTTTGGTTTTTTAATTCTCTGGGGTGTCGGAAGGGGTCATATCCTGCCCTCCCTCCCATAATCTTATGTGGAAGCTTACTCAAATTTAGCATTCACGTTCAGTGCATAACCAACTCACCCCAGCCAGAGTTCAGGGTCCTGTACCCCACATAGCCCTCTCTGCGTGCTCAGTCGGTGCGAAAAAACATTCTCCTGGTACAACAAGGCTTTGATCCCATTCTCATCCTCTGATAGCCTGGGCCTATCGCCTCACCTTTCTGGTTGCCTTGGTCACTGTCCTACCTGCCGGCTCTTTGTGAGATTTCCTGTCATTACAGAATATAGTAGCATTGAGCACGAATGCCCTCAATTTCCCCGTCTGTAAAGTGGGCATCATTATATGTGATGTCAATCTGAAGACTAAGATGCACCTGATTCAGGCCATGGTCTTCTCAATCACCTGCTACCCATCAGAAAGCTGGATTATGAATAAGGATGATGGAAAAAGAATTGATGCCTTTGAGTTGTGGTGCTGGAGAAGAGTACTGAATATCCCATGGACTGCCAAAAAAACCAACAGATATGTCCTGGGAAGGGGATGGCCTGAGTGTTCCTTGGAGGCAAGAATGTCCAAGCTTGGTCCTTCATGCTTTGGACAGGTAGCTAGGTGAGGTGATTCCTTGGAAAGGGACATGATGCTTGGAAAGAGGGAGGGTCAGCTATGGGAAGCCAAACTTCATACCAAATATTCTATGAAAACCCTTGTTCAGGAATTGAAGGAATTACAGATTTATAAGTTAGGATTTCTCTTGTGGCAGATCACAGAAAATGAGCTGTTTGTTCCCTGCAGACAGGAGATGGCAAGGGGTCCCCTACAGAGGGAGTGTTACTTCCTGAGCTAGAGTTCACCCTGAGGCACTAAGGCAATCCTTAAGGGTTTACCAAATTCTTGCATTTGCTAACCCCTCCCTCCTGAGTCAAAGGGAAGGTTTTCAATAGAAAGAGCTTGGCTTCATTTGCACTGAATTCTCTTTCCTGATGATTTTCCAATAAAGATACAGAGAAGCTTGGCTTAGGGTCTTCAGTGGAGAACTACTGGCCCCCTGTTTTTCATGCTCTCTGCTCTATCTCATTCCTGGCTGTACGTCTTATTATTAATAATTTTGAAATTACTTTAGCCTTGGTCTGCAACAGTTAGCGAAGGAGAGGAAGATCCCCAAAGAGAAGGAGTGACACTGTGACTTCAGCAATGGGCTCGAGTGTCTCAGAGATGACAGATGGCCCAAGATAGTTCAGAATGGCTGCTCAGAGGGTCACTATGAGTCATATTCAACTCGATGGCACCTAACAACAACACAACAATTATGAAAATATAAGGTCTCTAGTAGCACAGTGTATTAAGAGTTGAGCTAATAACTAAAACATCGACAGTTCGAATCTACCATATGCGCCAAGAAAGATGGGCAATTTTCTCCCATAAAGATTTACAACCTCAAGGATTCGGTAGAAAGTCACCATGAGTTGACACATTTAGGGTGTTTTGTTTTGTTTTTCCATTATTACTGTTACTTCTTTGAAAGGAAACTCAGTGATGCAGTTGTTAAGTACTTGGCTGTGAACCAAAAGGTTAATGGTTCAAACCCACCCCCCACTACAAGGGAGAAAAAAGCAGCTGTCTCTTTCTTATAAAGATGAAATTCTGTTGCCCCAAAGTTGATCCTAAGTCATAACAATCCTACAAGACAAAGTAAGTCAACAATCCACCATGTAATCCTAGGCTGTAACTCTTTAAGGAAGCAGATGCCTCGTCTTCCTCCCTCAGACCTGCTACTGGGTTCAAACCACTGATATTCCAGTTCACAGACAAACACGTTAGCCACTGTGTGACTAAGCTTCCTCCTTATAAAGATTATACCCTTGGCCGTTCTTAGGGGACAGTTCCATTCAATCCTATAGAGTCACTAGAGTTAGAATCGGCTACGTAGCAAGAAGTTTGGGGCCCTGGGGTTTTTTTGGTTTATTGTAAGGGCTGAGGTACCCTGCAGCTTCAGAGGTGGAGTCCTGGCTGCCAACTGAAAGGTCATAGTCAGGAGGAGATTGTCTGCATGTGAGGAGACTACACATTAGGACTGGCATGGAGAAGTTCAGCCCCAACCTCCTTAGAGAGATACTATGACTCAGAATCCACTCACCAGCAATGGGCTTGGCTTTTAAAATTGTGAGGACTAAGTGGATTAACAAAGGACAAGTGCTACCTCACCTTCACTGTCCAGGTATTTATTACAGAAATGAAAAAGAATTCTTTTATTTTTTTTTATCGCTGCTTTCAACTGTCTTCTCATCCCAGCCTCTCTAGTGCCTGGAAGTCGCTCTAAAGATGAAACAAATGAACATAGAAATGATGGAAACTGTTGAGTGAATACACTGATCCATCCGGGTTGCACTTTTTGAGAGTCTGCTTCATGCCAGGCTCTCCACTCACCGGTGTTTAGAATAGAGGATGCAAGTGTAATTTGCCCCTGACCTCATAAAACTTGGGTTTTAAAGGAGAAGACCAAACTAAACCCACTGCAATCTGTTGCTGCTGTTGTTGTTGTTGTTGTGTGCCCTGGAGTGAGGACTGACTCATTGCTCTCCCTCTAGCAGGTTTTCAGAGGCTGTAAATTGCAAGATTACCCATTTTCCTTCTGCAGAGCAGTGGTGTCCAGGACTTTCATTCTTCTAGGTCGTGTAACCCTGGTATGTCCACTTGCTGTACAGAGGTAGCTCCTGGTTGCTATGAAGCTGAACACTGTGACACTGATGAGTCAAACGCGAGAATGATTACCCATGGTGGACAGTGTTGGGTGGAGCTCCCAGATTAAAACAAGCTTGGAAGCAGGAGTGGCATCCATTTCCATAATAGCTTGCCTCCGGAAACTTTATGAACCTGGAGAAAGGATGAAAATTATACAGGTGTCCAGGACTTTTGTTCATATGGTCGCTATGAGTCACCTACGACTCAAGGGCACTTAACAACAACAACAAGAACAGAGCAGTGGTGGATTCGAAACACGTGCCTTTGGTTTGACAGTGGGACAGCTTACCACCAGAGCTACCTCACTGCCGTGTAGTGGATCGCTCCTGCAAACGACCCTGTAAGACAAAGAATTGCCCTACAGGGTTTCCAAGGTTATAAATCTTAACTGAAGCCAAATGCCTTGTCTTTCCCCTACCAAGTGGCTGGTGGGTTTGAACCAGCAACCTTTTGGTTAAGAGCCATTTGACCACAGCACCATCAGAAGAAGGCAAACAATATGTAAACATTTCAGATCATTTCAGGAAGGCAAAATACTATGGGAAAAAAAGAAAACCAGGGTCAATCAAGGAGGGGAGAGCTGGTGGGTCTTTAGCTTGATGGTTGGGGCATTCCTGCTGGAGGCGATGGGGGGGCCGATTAGGTTGGAAGTGGCGCCTCAGGACCACAGCGGCCTCTAGCGGCGGCTGAGTGGGTTGCCTACACACGTGCGGCTCCGCCTCTCTCCCCCAACCGCCCGGTAGGGGCGGAGCTTGAGATCGGCCAGGGGGCGGAGCCATCCCCCCTAGCCCCACCCCCGGGGCGAGCCCGGCTGCGTTACCCCCCCCCACCGTCGCCAGGGTGATGTGACGTCACCACGCCGGGTTGCCTGGAAACGCGGGGCGGGCGCGCGGCCAGTGGTCGGTTCACGCCGCAGCCGGGCGGCCGGA